AACGCTAATATCCCTTGTGAGGCCGCCCGTGGTATGACGGAGAGACATAGCACTTTAAGGAGAGGGAAAACACGAGAGAGCCCGCTGTAAGGATGGCAGCACGGCAGCATACAGGCAGGCTTTAGCGCCGTCACCTCACACTCCAGGAGGGACTCTTCTTGGCAGTTACACACAGCTGCGGTCAAAAGTGTTCGCCGAAACGGTTTTTCGTGCACTGCCTTTCTCACCTGACCAATTCCCTTCAGATATGTTGTGTCTTTTGACCTTCTTGAATCCATTTGCTAAGGATTCAAGGAATTAAAAATAAAATATTTAGGGAATCTTCGAATCTTCTTCAAGAGAAAAACTGTAATGCACGAGAAATCGTTTCGGCGAACACTTTTGACCGCTACTGTAATCCCGATCAGTGGAAGTAATACCCAGTAAACAAAACCAGGCTTCCAAGTATTAGAGGCACTGGTCGGGTTAGGCGATCAAAGGAACCCGCTCTGTCGATACTATGACTGGGTCTGCAACCATAGAGGTGATGCCGCGCTCGTGACTCGAAACCGCGCGGCTATAACAACCCTGGCCTAGCATTTAGGACGACGTGAGCTATGACCGCCCACCGCCGGAAGTGCGTGGCTGGCATAACGCGTGAAATCAGCTGGTTGATTGCCGTATCAGCTGCTTTCACGGAGCCAGCAATGGTTGGCATGTTCCGAGAACTCGTCGGACATGCATTTCTCCCAAGCCAGCCTCCTTCGCCGCTGTTGGGGAAGGAGGTTTTATTTTCGGTCTTGTCGACGGTTTTGCTGATTCTTTTTCACTGAAATTACATTGAACATTTAAGCACCCACTTTTAAAGGCATGCCCCAGGATCACATTGGTGTGGCTCTTGCACACGAATGCGAATGTATTGGTGCGAAATGGGCCGGCAGTAAAGAAAAAGGAAAAGAATCCGTCGAAAACGCTTAGGTTAAGGGCTCACTCACCTTCCTAATCGGCTGTGCTAAGGGAATGAGAGACTAAGCGCGGAGAGGAGAGTATGAGGCGAGAGAGCGCTACAGATGAGAGAGCGCCAGACAACAGCCTGATAAGAGAAAAAAATCTGCAGCTTCAGCAGCTTACTTTGCAAGGCCCAAGCGGGAATGCCCCCACACTTTGTACATTTGACTTTCAGGAGGCCGTCTATGCCGATAGACCACAGTTCAGCGTTTCATACGACCTGGGGTGTTGCTGCCTTTACAGCGTAAAAATGCCCTGACTCGAACCCGACCCGTTCCTTTAAATGCACTACGTTGTACAAAAAACAGTGGTAATTCCCTGCTAAAAGGAAAGGAGTTCCGCGTTCCACATTCTACAAGAAGCGTGTTCATCAGCGTCACTTGTTCAGAACTTGCATGCGCTAAAAGTGGGCTTGGCTTTTGCCGTTGCCATGTGTAATTAGATATCGAAAATCAAACAAGTGAATCACACTGTTTTTCAATGATTGCTTTATTCTTCAGCGAAGGAAATGGTAGAAGCCAAAACATGCCGTGGTTTCTCGCCTCTGGATTTCTCAAATTTTAAACACCAACCACATTATTTTATGAACCTGATTCTTCATAACCAAATAGTCGCTATTCTTGCACTCCTCTGACCTAAATTTCTGACGGCTCACATCTCGCCTAACTTGAATTATTAATGGATTCTCAAAACGTTCCATCGGTTTAATCCTTAGAAGAACTGAACGACTTGACTGACTGACGCTCGGAACGCTTTCCTCGAAAATGATCCTCATAGAAACATTGGTTCATAGGAATGGAACGAAGGGCAGAGCACTCGTTGGTCCCTACTTTTTCCGAGCGCGCAGCACCTTCGCTTTTGATCTTCTTCGTTTTCAGCCGAACATAGCATCTTAAACATGACGATTTAAGGTCATGCATGAGCAGAAGGGAAAACTCAGTGACTTCCTTGTGGGGTCAGGTCACCAGAGCCTGCGCGATCATGGAAGCCCAAGTTTAAGATTGGCGTTTAAAAGGGCAGAAGGCTTTTAGCCCCCCCCCCCCCCCCCCCCCCCGTATTACCTACAAATTATGGTCGAACGTTGTGAGCTGACTGACAGAAGTGGCTTGATTATGGCCGGTAGGCTCATCGATTTATCCTTCTGCATGGCCAAGAAAAACAGAACCTCCCCAAAACAATTCCAGGATACAATTAAAAATGAAACACGCAGGAATTGAAGTATATGTTACCCTTCTCTTGGGAAAAGGGCAGCAGATCGTTCAAAATCAACTTTTCTTCCACATCGAGCACGGCTCAACCCGAGAAATGACAAGGGAGCTGTATATGTCAATAAAAATGTGTGCTGAAACTAGAGAAACTGTTCCCAAAAGAGTAAATAAATTCATAGGGCATTCTCTTTCTCTATTCCAAATTCATACAGGTATTTGACTGGTCAGAATTTACCTCGCGCAATCGGCCAGACTCTGTATTGCCTTTAGCTTCTAGGCCGATGACACCACTCGTTGCTTGTAAAGCCGCCATTAAACAAGGCGAAGGTCTATATCACAGGTGTGCCAAGCTTTTTCGAAAATGGTCTTTGCATGATTATAGGGGCAGGGGACCACAGAAGCATGGTTTCATTTTTCCTGAACGGCCCTCTGAATACCAGAAAAGGGGTCCCTAGTTCGATTCCTCGTGGTGACAAATTTTTGCATTTCGAGTTGACGTTTCCAAATTCGCGCAAAATGGAGTTAGCATGAATAATTAGTACCATATTCATGATTAGGAACCGTCAGTAACCCTTACAAATAGACTTTGATTGAAAAACTGGTGAAAAAGGTGTGACTAGGGACCCCCTTTTCTGGTATTCAGAGGGCCGTTCAGGAAAAATTAACCATGGTTCTGTGGTTCCCGCATGTGCCCCTATATCATGCAAAAGACCGTTTTCAAAAAGCTTGGCACACCCTGAAAGACCTTCCTGGTAGTTGGAAAAGCTCGACGGTGAATCACTTGAAGAGAACACGGAAGCCTCGTGACCAGAAAATTTCACAATATACTCGAAAAGAACATGCCGTGACTTCGCATAATTCGAAATGTACATTTTCCTTGAGAAGAATGGGAAAAACTTTGACTATTATCGACATAACGAAGGGCTGTTTTTGTCGGCGATAAATTGAATGTAGGCATGAGAACGCATGAGAGTTCCTGGACGCTGTGGGATAATCGAGAAATTTCTTCAAATCATGAGCCAAATCATGAAGTCACAGAAAGCCGATCATTACCGACTCGGCTCCTTGAATACTATGGTTGTACATTTCAGGACCATTTTTCTTCACTCCTAAACGTAGTAGGAGTAACAACACGCAACGTAAAAACAAAAACAAGATGTTGATGTTGACAGCATCTTCAATGGCGTCTATGAAGACCTTCACTAACCATTATGGAGAAACACTTCGATTCCATTTATCCAGCAAAAAGCATAAAGCATTAGACCTTTCTGGGATGCGCCACGCATACCAACCTAACTCGGATTGCATTGTGCGTGCGATTTACATAGTGACTTCCGGGGAGATGTACGAGTGATTTATTCTTCCAAGGAAAGTCTGTTACCAATTTACCACCCCGAAGAAATGGGAAACTCAGTCGATCTGGACACGATACAGGATTTGATCGCCGACCATGCGCATGGCAACAGCGCGCCGAATTTCGGAACCTAATTTAACAATTCTACTCATACCTAATGATGTAAGGAACATTCGGGATAACGACGCCTATTCAAAAATTAGGCACTACCCAAAACGCTCCCATGTAGAGCGCGTATCGAACAAGAAAAACTTGCTCAAGCTGCCTTGAAGGAGGTTATTCTTCATTGATCTCAGAGAAGTCTTACTATAACTTGAACAGCTACAGAATGAGAGGAATGTTCACCGATAACAGAGCATGTTCAATTCGCAACTACGTTTAAAAGGCCAAACCCCGGATTTAAGCTAGGTGCTATTAGCGCTTCGTGGTGATAGCTTAGCTGCGGAAGGCAAGAGAAAGTGTTTGAAAGCTGAATACTAAGGCTTAACCTTACATAAGGTCGGATGGTACGATAGCGACAACGGGCGTCAATAGTGAACAAATAGCGAGCGAGCACTCGTCGGAAAGCACGCTGCACTCTCATAACATCAACTGCAACCAACGCTGATCTCACCATCTCTCGCTGGGTGGAAGCGCTTGATTTGGATTGATGGTTGTCAGGCCCGTTAGGTTGGCCGCGCTACGCGCCAATTTAAGCGACGAAAGTTGGATTGATCCAGAAAGGTATGACCTTACAATTCCCTCGTGTATCCCTCCACTAGTCGGTCTAAAACCGGAGGTTTTTGCAATTAAGAGGTCAACGATAATCCTGGAAGAAAGTCACGCTAGTGGAGGGTACCGGTCTACCTAATGAGCCATATAGGTACGCTTCAGAGGCAGTGGCCCCTTGCCATCGGCGTGAAAGACGCGAAAACCCACTTCCGGGTAGCAACTACATCTATGTGTCGACGTGGGTGGGTTGTAAGAGCAGCGTACTTGATTTGATACCGTTATCGTTATCATCCGATTTTCATTATGAAGTGCCCCTCATTCCAAGCAGCCGTATCTTCTTATCTTATGGTATCGTATCTTCTGTGGGGTTACGCTGGTCCAACCATTATCTACCAGATCTTATCGGTTGAGAACGCATAGGTAGCACTCCGCTCGAAGCTAACGCGATCGCTTCCTTCGAAGGCCAACACTTCCATCCCAACCTGGAGGGTTACAGTCCAGCCTTTCTTTAGTGGGCAAATAACCTATGCTGAGCACATATCGTCTTAGAATACAGGTGCTAAATGGTGGCATTCATTATGTTTTGACAGCGTCGATGGACTCGTACGGATGTGTGGATCTGCCTATTTTGAAAATAATTTGTTACAGCTCGATGATCTGTGGGAAGTAAAAGCCTCGCTAACACCTTTCCCAACAATGAAATAACTATCGCAATTATGAAGAGAAATAGTAAAACATACCGTATAGGCGGGCATGCGCGCTGCTCCATCTCGGAGCTCCTCGCCACAAATCTTCAATGTTATTTTTAGGCAATTCTAAGCATTAAATTTAATTTTGCTTGAATCTGTAGTAACGTGCTACGAAACGGAGCAACTCACAGAAACACATAGATGAAACACGCTAAAAGCGCAACGTATGCAAAATATTTGTTTGAGCAAAGACAGAAATGTGCACATTCAAAACACGCTGAATTAGCGAAATATGCAAAATAATTGCTTCGAGCAAGGTTCAGGAAGTGTGCACGTCAGAACCGTATAGGAAGTACCTGGGACAAGACATGATTACGTAATAGAAGAGAAATAAGACAAAGTGTGCTAGGTAATTGACATGGAAGTCAGATGACCTCGTAATGAGATTAGACCATGAGGTGCTCATTAAATAAATCGATTTAATAGGAACAATTGTAGCTTCGTATTAAACGCTACAAACGGGGATAACCGCGACACAACAACTCACAGCATACTTCATTTTCTCAAAGTTGTAGGTCTACTACCACAGTGATAATAAAAAGTTCTGGTCCATATTGAAAGTCTAGCCAAAGCCTACGTCATCAAGAAGGACCTAAGTGAAGTCATGGCCACGGCAGAAGATGCCCTAGATAGAGCAATGTGGCGACGGCTGACAAGAACAGCGGACCCTGCTACTGTGCGAGATCAACGCTAGGGAAAAGAAGGATAAGAAGATTGAAAGTCATAAACATAACGAAGACACTAAATCGTGAAAGCACGCCATAAGGTAACAGCTTCATTTGCGAAAGCCGCACAGAGTCTTAGTGACAAGTTAAGGACTCCATTCCAGGTCCTTTGCCACAGGAAAATCTGATTACCGAGATCAGAGGACGACTTCATGAGAAGCATAGGCTGCAGTCAGCTGGTGAAGGTAGGCGGGCGATGGGAGACCCCTTGAGGGCGGGACATGATACGAGCCATCTCGCGTTTACAGCTTTCTCTGTGAAGCCTTCATCAACAGTGATGACGAATTGTGATTTTCGAGGTTGTTAACGACGTGACGAGGTCTAGAACCTAGTTAGTAGTTTCAGGAACAGAAAAACACCTTTCAGCACTCTAAGTGAACCTTAGAGCTGTGATATTCAGGCGAAAGTAGACTGCCGGGAGGCACTCCGTTATGCTTTCCAAGGTAGGAATGAATGCCCTTGCGGCATTTGGTCGACTTATTTGGAGTGTACTTATGATAAAAACGGCTGTAGCTGTGATAAGAGCAGGTGTAGTGCTGGGGCTCCCGAGGTGCTTCTACATTTGGACCTTCAATGGGCCAAGGAAACGGGAGTTGAACACCAGTGGAACAACATTAATGCCTAGGGCCTAAGGGCTGGAGAGCTTCAGAGTTCATGACCAGGTGTGAGAAATTGGGGATTGTGTGGGAAGGATGTGTGGGATGTAAACGGTCATTATGAAAGTGCACCTCAAATGAGTCGCCTGCTTATTATCTTATTCTTAGCTGGTAGAGGGCACAAAGAAGCACTCTCTAGTATTAAGTAGGATAAAAAACCAGGAAAGCCCACTCCCACACACCATAACCCCTGATTTTATCCTTTTCATCCCAGTTAAACTACTGAATGATGAATTACCGTTTTTCAATCAACTCGCATTGCATCCTCCTGCAAGTGCAGCGGTTTTTGGAGAATTACACAGTCGAGATGTGTGAAGTAAATGAACTACGAACTTCCTCGTCGCAAGGTGTTCTGTGGCTCAGTTGAGACCATCCGTCGCAGCTCAGCCTGGTTCTAGCCCTATGTCACTCATCAATAAGTGACAGTGGAACATACGGTTTCCAACGGAGAAGGAGAAGTATAGCACCACCTACGCTAACTGCGTCACCTACGAAGCCCAGCAAAACAACATCCTGCTACAAAGGCTGCTACAAATTACCTAGTAAAAGAAGAAGTAAAAGGAGCCAATGAAAGATAAGTAATGTAGTTTTGTTCGGGGGTTCTTTTCAAGCTGTGTATCTGACTTTGATGCAGGGTTACAGTTGCCCCAATTGCTTATACAGTGAACTGCCGAAGTTGAACTATTGATTTGGAGCATGATATCGTAGCGCTTGCATTTTTCATTTTTGCACGCATCGCGATGACAAGAAAGAAAATTAAAACAGAGAAACTAATCAGGGGATTCCACTTTGCATTATCCTATTTTGCAGAAAGTCACTGGATTTGGAATTGAAAAAAAGATGTTGGGCTCGCTCTCGAAGTCTTCATTATTTCGCAATTTGTACGACATGAATACGGTCTTAATTTGAGTGAAATATGTAGGGTTGGTTAGAGAGAGGTTCGATAAGAACAATGGATTCTGAAGAACTTTTGTTTTGACGGTATTTTTCTTTATGTGAACTGAAAAATAACAGCTGTCGAAATGCCGATTTCTGCCGTCTGGATTTTCCAACTTCTAAGCATTATGTATGAGTACAAATATAATTTTGAGGGAAATGACGAAGTAATTTTTGTAGAGCGAAAAAAGCACTTTCAAAAGGTATAGGCGATTTTTAGGGTTTCTCTTGTACTGATTGAATTTATACGCCCAAAAAAAACGGACCGCCTACAGCTCACTTGTTCACGAAGCCATATGTAGAAGCGGGCAGTGCCTCAAAGTCGAACCGATGAGTTCAAGAAAAACCCGACAAGGATGGAATGTTTATGTCCGGATGAGGTCGATCGGGATCGATCTTCCCATATTCCTTCTATCATTAAGCTGCAGCAGGACGTTGATGCCTATATGAACTGATTCATCACTGCGGCAGCACACGATCAAAAACTAGATACACGGCTTGAAATTGTATCCCAACCAGGCAATCTGAGCTCTCCGTTCCTTACGTGCATGATTAATTGGCACGCGGCAGTGTGTGTACTTACTCGTGCGCTGAGTCAAACTGGTCTCACTGCACAGAATTTCTGATAAGCCGTGGAACAGCAGCTACCGATGATGGGGGATCCAGTTTCTAACGAAGAAATTTCTTATGTTCAGGAAATATCCACGATGATTGGGAGATAAACGCTGAAAATTCTCATTGCTTTTTATGTTTTTTGAGGCTTGACACTCACACTTTATGGCCAGGCTATACAACGAAGAACAAAGGTTTAATATTAGGTCGGTCCACAATTTTTGAGAACCTTTGGTGTTTTTCGATTTATTACTTATCTTATTTCTCTGATCTACTTATCCAGCATAGTATACATCATTATTATTAACAATATATCGCCAATGCGAGGGTGGGTATTCAGTGCCTCTCTTGTGGACTTTCATAGAGTTCTGATCGAAGGAAAATTGTAGTCCCGAATCAGTTCTCAACCCAATCTGACATCATCAAGTTCCTGTTGGTTTCCCATAGTTCCTTCGGATGACCATCTATAATACTCATTGGTGATGTGGACTGGGTGCAGTGTGCTAACAAATCCACGAGCCGCAGTAGATTTGCTCAAACGATTCGGGAGTTCTGACAGTACAAACCCAACTCCCTCTGAATTCGAACTTCCTGAGTCGTTGGCGCAATACGGGAGGGCCTTTGCGCTGAAGACCGGCATCAACTAATAACGTGTCAGTGAGGGGAGAATCGTGACACTTGGATGGCGACGATTGAACTGGGGAAAGCAAGGAAGACAAAATCTATTCTTTTCTGAGGTCGCTCGAGCCCGCCTTGCTAAGAAAATTCCTAAAAAATTGGAGACTCTCGGGCGGTCAGTTCTTTTAGCTCCGCCTTGTAGCACTAATCCTGCGTCAACGAACGACTATCCGCTCTCCTCTCTCAATCACCTTCTGGAGAAGAAATCTCACTTGAATCACCATAAAGTCAAAATCGACATCCAATATTTCTTCGATCAGAACTCTATGAAATTCTACAAGAGAGACACTGAATACCCACCCTCGCATTGGTTAATAGGGGGGCCAAAAAAAACATTTTGCCTATGTCGGACTTCGGCTCTTTTTTCTTCGCAGAGATTGCTGTCGTTGACGGGAGTTCCTCAGCAGAGTATTCCCTAAGTGTTCCTCTATTAGTGTACGCAGGCTCTCCTTCACTGCCCTCACCGTCTTCAGAATATGACGTCATCTGTCACCGTCGTCAGGCTCAAGGAGGTCTACCGTAAGAGCTTCAGCCTGAAGCTCTTACGCAATTTCGTGAATCGATTTAATGTTGGATAGTTTTCTAGAGGCATTAGCTACCACTGTGCAAATCCCCTCGGAACTAGCTTTCCAGTAAGGGTCGTTATGGTACACGATCCTTCGAAGACCCCATTGAGATCGACCAGTGCACCATGTTTCCAGGGCTAATTCTTCTGATGCCGTCCACGTACGTGGCCACTATGAAGATTTTCTTATAGAATGGAATGCACTCTTTAATAATAAGTTGGAACCGTTCGGTCTGAGTTGAGTAAAATGTGCTTAAATCCATCTGGAAGTGGAGGCAAAATGTCTTTTTTTTTGCCCCCCTGTATGTTGGTAATAATGGTGATGTATACTATGCTGAATAAGTACATCAGAGAAATAAGATAAGTAATTGAATCGAAAAACACCAAAGGTTCTCAAAAATTATGGACCGACCTAATAGAAGGATTTCGCGTAAGGTGACGAATTTAACCAATTATCGTTCCCAGAGTTTCTTTGTTCCACAGAATGAGTTACCTTTCCTTCTCGCGAAATCGCGCTTGTGCAGCAAAGGTGGCTATTTAGGAGTAAGTCGATGCAGAGGGTAGCGTGACATCAAATCATTACATTATTATAGAGTTCAACTAGCGTACAGTCAGATTAGAAGCAGTTCAGTGCTGTATTGATACTGCTCCAGGCGGAAGTGGCACTGTGACATGAAACTAACTCCGAGTTCAATACGAGCCTGTTGCGCCAGCACACCAGAACTCCGTTTTTTGATGCCAGAAAACCCAACAATCCATTACGCTGGCCAGGGTGTGCTCTGGAGGGCCGCTGCTCGGTGAGTGACATTGTGTAGACGTACTGGGTGCGTTGCAGTTCTCCTCCTCAGGTCAGATCACCTCACAAAATGACCCTTCCAATTTGCTTCTGATGAAGCCGTAGACTACTATACCTAACCATAGGCTTTTAGCAGAAGCCAGTGTGAAACCATAAGCCTAAGCCTGAGCTCGACTTCAAGTCCAAGTTTAGACTTCAATCCTTGCGCAGCTCTGGTGACCTGACCTAGGACTAGAACTGAACGTCTCCCGTAAGCACTACATCCAGTTGACTAGCCTCCATCAGCGTCTGGTGCCGGGTAGGTCGTCACCGAATAAGGAAGTTTCTGAATAACATTCCCTGTTTCTGTCATTTTTATTGTCACGAGGTCACGTGAGCCGGCTCTGAAGGACCGAAATAGAAGCGAAGCAATTCATGACTATCAATGTGAAATTTTTGTGTCCGTGCGGTGAGCAACGTGTGCTACTACAGTCTAACTGTTTTGACAAGGATGGGTGTGGTGCAAAGACATGTGGCAGTGCTCACTACTGGCGCGGTTCGGAGATCAGTGCTCGTCCACTCCGGCCAAGCCTTTCACCCCTTCTGAACTGATTAATTTTTAGCAGCCTTGGCTGGGAGGATGAAACACCGACCTGTACATCGGTAGGCCCATCAGGTCATGCTGAGGCCAATTTACATTCAAAATGGCACTCCGATTCTGGACGGAAATATCTAGAAGGCGTGCCAAAAGCTCTATAGCATGTATGATCCATGTATGATAATAATGAGACGTGCAAAAATCTTTCATAAACTCATTCAGGTAATCGCTCAGTAGATATGGACAGCAGTTCTCTGCTCAGTGTCACAATACAAGTGCAATAGTATACGCTTCATTTCAGTTGACTGGGTTGGCTTGATGACCTTCTATTATGAGCCGTTTGTCGTGCTGTGCGTCTGCTGGTTGGGTAGACATTTAAATGTGCCAACTACTGTGACCAAAACATAAATACGTAAACAGTCTCAAAATGACGCGAAGGGTAGGCATTGACCAAAAATGTCCACTTCGGTTCTCTACTCCCTGCATGCGCTGTAAATTTTCGGTACATACATAACTTCTGTGCAGAATTTCAATGCTAATTCAATGTACTGACAGCAAGATTTCTAATACTAAGCTTACCAATTGTAGCTGCAGAAACTGTTCTAATAGATCGAGGCCATTTGCTGAGTTGACTGTGCTCTTAGTTACCTTCCCAATACAAGAAAATGGAAAGATACTCGATATCGGTGAGTTGGGGTGGGCGTGTCACCGGAAGTGACGTGCACTTGATAGAAACTATGTGGATAAGCTGCTTCCAACATACATCGCTGGCTATCAGCAAAGCATGCTGGCAACAGCTTATCCACGCACTTCTATCAAGTGCACGTCACTTCCGGTGACACACCCACCCCAACTTTCGGATATCGACTGTAATGTAGGAATGGCCAAAAAATGAAGGAGAAACTTTCTGTAATCGCACACACTGTTTGAATTGAATCGTTTTCCTGCACCTATCAAGGCTGATTACAGTTTGATGACAATCGTTACGAATGTAAATATTTAAGGTTCATTTCGGCTGACAACTCGCTTCATAGCACAATCATCTTAAAGGGAGGAATTCACGATTAGAATGAAGGTCGAAGAAAGGGAAACTGACCTAGTTGAGGGACCCACGGACCTCCTGAGGGTGCGAACTGACGCGCAATTCGCATGGAAAAATTTGACCTCGGCGACCTATCATGCCTCAAAGCTGGCGGGTCCGGCGATCTCCGCCCACTGATCACTCGCCGTAGTTCAATACGTGGCGAGTGATTAGATAGCTGAGAGAGCGTAGTGTTGAAGAGGGCACAGCGATGAGAGTCGCATCAATGCTCAAATCAACGGGCAAGGAAGGGGTCCCATTTCTCGGGTTCTGGGCCGTTTCTCATGGTTCTTCCTTCTCCATCCCTAGGTTAATTTGCTTTTTCATCGTGAATTCGTCCTTTAATGAAATTACAGTACATTTTGCAACTTTCTCGTTAGATCACTATCCAAAAGTGGACTAACTAGTAAGATCTCCACAATGGCAACGTTCCATTCCCATCAAATCGGCCCATTTCGAAGGTTTCAGTTTTTTTTTTCTGATCGTGAGTTAACATACATAGGAAATCTTTGATGCTGGCAGATGGGTCGGTAGAAAACGTGGGAACGACGTGAATCGAGGTCGTTACAGCCACGTGTGGCGGATGAGGGAAGTCATATGAAAACGGAAGCCGTTACGATTCGGCTCTTACCTTGAAGCAAAGGTTATCAAGCGTTTACTCATAGGATAGAAGACGCACCTATTGCTCCATATTACTCCTTACTACGTGTAGGGCCTTATTTTGTCTCGTTTTATGTCTGGTTGTTTCACTGTTTCACATAAAATTTGGTATCAGGGTCAATTGATGCGCATGCAGAGCAGGATGGCTCGTTTTATAGCGATGATTGATGGAGGGGCAGCGCTTTTGGAGCTGACAACTGGGTTACGAATGGGTCCAATTTGTGTAAGTTCAGAGAGTTGTGGGCAGGACGGGGGTGTTTTTAAGATTTCTTTCATGAGTTCCGAGAAGATCTAAGGAAGGAAGCCGAAATAGAAGCACTTAAAGAATTTACCCTTTCCCTTAGGCATAGCAGCGGTCAAAAGATTCGCCAGAACGATTTTCGTGCAAATTTTTTTTCACGTGAATAATTCAGTACTAATATTAAATCGATGAGCCTTTTGACATCTTCGAATCCTTCCACCTTGTAGACCTATAGCATTCAAGAAGAAACTCTTGCGAATCTTTATGCCTTTTTCAGTGGGGGAGAAATGTGCGAAAGCCCCACCTCACATACATGTATATTCGTATTTGGGGGTCGTATTGAGACACTCCAGGAAGGGTCACGTCGTAATTCATTTGAAAACGGCCTGACGCCAGACCTGATGCCTGTTGGGTAATGCCAGGAAGATGGAGTATAGTTCGGGCAAAGCTTAGGATGAGTGAGGCGTAGGTCAAGAGGCTGGACTGTAAATAAAATGAAGTAAAAGTAGATAAGCCACACCCACGGTGGGCGAGGATCTTGCAAACTCGGCTGCAGTGGCTGCAATGTTCCCCGTCAGCAGCGGACTGTTGTCTAGCGCTCTCTCATTTCTCGCGCTCTCTCGCCTCATACTCTCCTCGCTCAGCATCTCATTGCATTAGCATAGCCGCATTACAGTGGAGCAAGTCCTCAACTTGAGCGTTTCGAACAGAGCTTCTCCTTTCTTCTTCACTGCCGGCTTTTCGCCCCTTTATTTCTGTACTCTTCTGCAAGAACCACCCAGGAGCATGCCTTCAAATAAGCGAGCTCTCACCTACAGTGGGTGCGCGCTCACATTTGCGTGATGTTTGCTACAGGAAATTCCGAGCTCTGTTCCCAGACATCTATAGTTTCGCTCGGAATAATTGATAGAAGCTAGTAAAAGGGGCAAAATACGTATAAAACATTCATAGGGTTCGGGGCGTGCAAAGAGTGGGGCGGAGTTGGAAACTGAAATTCACTTCATGATTCCGATGCAACCTGATGAGAAAAACGGTGGAAAAAAAGCAATGAATAAGAGGGGGTCAAATGTTCATAGTAAGCGGTGCGAACACTGAAGTGAGCCAGGCTAAATTCAAAAATTCATTGCTCAATTCCGATGTAACCATACCACAAAAAATGTGAAGAGAGCTAGCGAAAGTTAAAGCAAAAGGAAACATATGACAAAAGCCTGTAGTGTGAGGCGAGCATTGGATTGTCGGGGAAAATAACCACCATATTCAGGGATACAGCCCTGTCTGGCGCTCAGGTTGTTTTACCGGATTAAATTATGCAGTGTGGCTCATACCTTACTTCAGACAACTTAACGGGCACAACATTCGCGTCTGATGCAGTATTTATTTGTTGTCTACGGCTTGCTTTGTAGCCCATTCTTTTAATCTTTTGAAATTCTCAGGTTGCATGAACCACTTCCTTCTCCAATTGATGTTGTGATTTTCAAGCTCCATTTCGAGTAGTAAACTTGTTTACTCGAATTTTGGGTATAGGAGATATTTCATAACAGGGCTGCACCTTGAGACATGAGAGATACTCTCCCGAAAAGGAACAATTCTACTGAATTGCAACCGCAAAATGTTACGTGACGCATGGCAACTGGACTTCTTATTTGGCTTATAGTTGCAGGCAAGTGATTAATACCTGTTTTATTTGTACAGCCTTTTATTTCTTTATACCATTTAATTTGTTTTTGATGGGGTTGAAATGTTTGTGCCTTCTTTTGTAGGAAGCCTCCGGAAGTCTTCTTCAACCAGATTCAAGACCTGCATTTTATAAAGTCAAATTATGAATGGTGGGCAGGGGGGGTACGGCAACTGATGCACTGCGTGGCATGGTCTGAAAAATCTACCTCGGATTGGGGGAATTTATTCAAGCCAACAAGTTTTTAACTTTCTCCAGAGTCGCTGATGTCGCTCTACAGGCTAGTCTGGCAGAAAAATAGCAGCTGCTACTGGACATCGATCCCCGTAATTCATCGTAGAGTAGCGCCATCGAGATGTGAGACTCTGTGATACGCCTATCTTGTGAATGACATGCTGAATGGAGACGTAGTGGGTGAGGCACTGCAATTGGAAGAACATTCATATGAATTCATGATAGCGAGCTGAACGCTCGATCCATATTGACTTAGCAAACAGTGTGACGCAGAGTGGTCGATAGCCTTGACTAAAAAGTGGGAAGATTTTTTAGCTTTAATATCGGATTGACAAGACCCGCGGATGTAGGTACACAAGAAAAGAAGTGGAGAAGTTATGAAAATATCACCAAGTGCTTTACAGAAGGCTTGGAAAAGCGACCAAGTAGTTGAACTTTGGACACTGACTTTAAAGGAAGCAGTCACGCTGGCTTCCACGCTGGATTTGCTACCCTCGCGTTATCAATCGATAAGGTGTGAGGCAGTAATTGTTGGACGAGTGTAAGCCCATGGAAGATATGATACGATGAGATAAGAAGGTGCGGCTGCTTGATAAGAGGTGCACTCCAGAATGAAAACGGGACGATAACGATAACGGTATCATATCTAGCACGCTCTTATCGCACCCCTTTCCACATCGATAAGTCTTGGGTTTTGCTGAACTTGAGTGAATTTCGGCTCCTTATCACTTCATTGATAAGGGGCCACTGCCACTGAAACTTTACGTGTTCTAACATTGGGCAGGACCTCTATCCACTCCAATACATAGCTTTCCTTATCGTTGCCATGAAAATTATCGTGACTGCTTCCTTTAAGCGTGGAGTGGATTGGCATCTGAAATTAGGTCATTGTTTCTTTTTCTTTGGAAGTTTTAGGAGTCTGTAGGTCTGTGTCTAAGTACGTGTGTTGAATGATTTGAGAGTTTCAAAGCTTATTTAAGAGGCGTGTGATCTTTCATAACGATTGCAGATGCGGATCAGCTTTCTACAGTCAAGCTTTAGGCGTCTAGCATTCAGTGATGAGATCAATAGTGTCGAAAGGATTTATTCCGGGAAATCATGAGTCCACCGTTTCGTCGGGATGTTGCACTAGAATTTGTCGGGTCTCATCCAGTAAGGGGGGGCATTGTGATGCAACGTCAAGTGGCTGCCCTCACCCCCAGACTGCCTTCACTCCCCCTGGCTCACGGGGTCCCGTACTTCGAGAAACCTGTGCGCCAGGGGGAGTGTAGGCAGTCTAGGGGGTGGGGAGGGCAGCCACTTGATGCCCCCCCCCTTACTGGATGAGACCCCTTTTAGATTTAGCGGATTGAACAAGGGCAATTAGCTTTTTCCTGGGTGCTATTGCACCAACGTTTTTGACCTTTTTGTCGTATTCTTCGAATGTCAAACGCCTGAAGCCCGTACTGTATCAACGAGTCGCCTAATAAATGGTGCCCAGATCAAGGGCTCTTTCCAGTGGTACCCTCGTCTCCGCCCAAGCTGCCCCCGACGTCCATGCAGTGTGATTTTTATAAGTCTGTTTCTCCTCGAAACTGAATCCTCGCGCGTGAAGCTTCTAGTTGTCCCTAGTGATCACGGCTGACATATTCATGTTGGGAAAGAATGCAAGAATCTACCGTGAACGATTCCTTCAAGAAGAAATTTTTGACTGGGAAGAAGGACTTCCAGACGGCATCATAACACTCACAACTGCTGTGTACACTACAAACGCATCAACATTCTTTCCATTCATTTCCCCAGATAATTATTAATGAATAATTTACCCCAATTATGTTGGTGGAATTTTGATGTCTCACCAGCACCGCTGGACACTAAGAAGGAGTTCCAGAAGGAAACACGAAAGACATTGCTAGTTAGAGTTGAGCATTTTGGCTGCAGTTGTGCAGATCACGATCAGCTAATCAGAGATTAGATCATGAATGGACAAAAGATCGACCAATGAAAGGGATGATGAGCTCTACGGCCGGGAATTGCTTTTATTCAGAAAGGCATCGAGCTGCGCTTAGCAGGATAAAGTGGTCAAGGGACGAGATATCTCCTAATCCTTTAAATTCTTGAAGAAGTTCATATTACGAGGATCTGGAACGTATCTCTAATCTATTACCATCAAATCTATCACTACTTACTCGACTGGCTCGCATGCCGGTGGAAGAAAAGGAGAGGAAAGAACGAAGCGATCGTATAGTCCTACAGCCGACTCGATATTCTGCTGCCGGTCATCCATGCGAGCACTTAGTAACCTCTTTCAATCAGTTCCTTAGTGGGAACACTGACTCTAACAACCAACACGAGCTGAACACCGTACTGGTGCATCCTGTTGATCTGTTCAAATACCATCAAATGTCGGAACACATCAAGAAGATCACTGAGGATTTAGAAAAGCAGTCTTCCGACAAGAAGGAATGAACAGTTCTAACACGAATACTGACACCTTATGCTCTCCTGAAATATTGAGCTGGTGCATAATAAATGTCTAGCGTTTTGTGTTTTGTTTACACGTCAAAATTCAGGCTTTTCAGAAAACTTTCTCGGGCACTCGAAAATAATTTTTCTGTTTTACACTGCCTTTGTTGTAATTTGATTCAATATTATAAAAGCATTCAAAGGTATGTAGCGTTTAAATGTTGGAAAATCTAGACAATAGAAACTGGCCTTCTCACTTGCTGATATTTTTAGGTTGTCGTAGGCGAAATTGCGAAAGCGGAAGCTGTTAGATCTACTGTAATCGCCAGCCCTTCCTCTAACCGATCCCACCTTCTTAGCTCAATTTCGAAGCATATTTAAATCGTCACAAATTGTGAACAATGAGGAATTTGAAAACATGCTTGTTGTCTTTTTTGTTCCAAATTTCGTGGTTTCCTTTGAATGGAATCAATGTCGTAGTAAGAAAAAAAGCATAAGAACATGGGTTTGTCTGTTGTTTCAATCCCGAGTCACCGAATGCCAGCGCGACGAAATTCTTGATGCATCAATCTCATGTTAAGAGGGCAGAATTTTCGATGAAAAGCTCATTGGAAATAGAGGTAGAGGTGGTCAGTGAGCGAGATGAAGAAGAAACTATGTGAAATGGCTCTGGACCCAAAGAAATGGGACCCTTCCTTGCCCGTTGATTTGCGCACTTGATGCGACTCTCATCGCTGTGCCCTCTTCAACACTACGCTCTCTCTGCTATCTAATCACTCGCCACGTATAGACCTGCGGCGAGTGATTAGATAGTCGGTGGGCGTACCCCGCCAACCGCGCCAAGAGTGAGCCATGCTACATTGTAG